TAATGCAAGCTAAAATAACCGTAAGAGAATCACAGAATATAATAGATTGGGAAGCAGGAAGAAAAGCTTTCAATTTGAAAACTGCAAGACGTTCTGAAATGTATGCAAATGAAATGGATGCCAAACAGAATATGGAATGCTGTGTATGTATGTATATATATAATATATATGTACGTATATAAAGGGTGTGTTTTAGACTGTGGTTTTCAAGAAAAAAGGTCACCTACTCAAAAAAGCCCTCCTAAGGTAACTGCTGACCAAACTTAGTTGGATGAAAGTAGCGACTAGAAGATTTGCTCACCCCATAAGAGGAATATCTCCTGAGGACTTCTTGTACGACTTTACCCAGAACCAATTCATGGTGGTATTTCTGAGTTTGTATGGGAAACCTTTTTGTTTTTGACAAGGCTTTCGCAAATATAATACTGTGTAAACTGATGCATCGAACCTTAGAAGCTCCCTTAGAATAACAAAGTAATCATCTTAGTAATCGTTACAAACCCCCATTAGATCGCCGGTATAGACTGAGGAGCCTAGCAGGTGAATGTGTGAATCGAAGACACTGTGAAAAAGTTAATATACTCCACATACCGTAAATTGGGGTATATGTATTTTTCTATGTGTATCTATACATACGCGTTTTGCTTTTGTCATATACTCGTGCGTAAATTTTTATATGAAAATGTATTCCATACATTCCTTTGGCACTATATACACATCTTGTCTTGACACATATACCTTTCATACATACATACATACATACATACATACGAAATATACATGCATTAAATATGCATCATACAAGCCACTTTAACACCTTTATTTATGGCACTCATACGCCGTGACGCAAGGGAAGCATGAAACGTGTTGCATACGCTGAGGTGCAATCACTTAAATGCATGTAAAAAAGGGCAAACTTAACAGGAGTAACTTAAAATGTAGTAAAAGCATATAAATAAATATAAATGGGTTATCGTGCAGAGAAAATTCTGTTATTTATAATTTATTATTAATGGGAAAGTATACAATTAATTAACTGACTTCAAGTTATCACTTGAAAAAAATTGATAAAATAACTATAATATAACCCAAGATATTGGCATTAACTGGTGTGATCTTCCAAGCATGGAAATTCGTGAATTTATTTTTATTTTCATTAAAGTGTCGTGTAAAGTCAACGCGAGCTATTTAAGTCTGATGCAGCACATAGCTCATCACTTTAAGCTTTTGCTTAAGTAAAGGTATTGCCTTTTTTTTCGACGAACCTAGCGACGAACCTACCTCCCTCCCAACTCACCGAGGGGCGCGTCTGAGGTAAATCGAAAAATCCAACAGACCGTTGACCGAATGCCAGTAATAGTCCGGACTGCCCTGAACCCAAAACCGATCGCGGTAGGTCGCGATTACACTTGCCTCTTACACTAAACAGCTACAGATTTGTTCATCAGCTGCTATAAAATTGCATGGTAAAAAGAAGAGAGAGTTTATTTAACTATTTTAAGCACTCAGTAACTAGATTTTGATACAGAAAAGCGAGTCAGAGGAATCAATGTTAGGGAAATGTGTATTAAAATCGTTACACAAAGATCTAAAAGGGTCGTTCGTTTCACAGTTTGTTCTGCACGAGCCCAATGAAAGGGGCCTAAAGTGTCTAGATGATCTTAACGGGATGGTAAAACTAAGTTCGCTAATTAGAAAATGAAAACCCGATCTTCTTTCTACGACTATGGAGTGTAGGCAGATTAATGAGCCGTAAACGACTTTTGTAAGAAGGCAAGTTCTTGTTCGCATCCCAGTTTAAATTTCTTAATGACTTCGCTGGTAGAAAATGGCAGATTTCGATATTAATACAAAGTTAAAAATTTGAACGCATGTAATAAATCAATAATGAAGGCATAATATTGCAAATATTTCAATGGTTTTGCATTACGAATAGGCACATGAGAAGCTAGTAGAATCGGTGTTGATTTTCCGGCCAATGTTGATGTTAATATAATTTTGGGGCTAGTGAAAATTAATTCATTATTTTTAATATAAATTTGAGGCTTTATTTACAACAGTTAACATAGTTAAAACTATCAGATTTATGCCGAAATGCATCGTTTTTCTGAACAGCTCTGTACCATTTTATATGTGTAATCATTATGCTCTACCCATAGAAACCCTGATTCCTATTGGCAAAAGATTACGACAATTGATTTTCACAGACTTCTTTTGAGCCCAATGCGTCACCAGCTAAATCACATGCCATAGAGACAGCAACAACTTGGTGCAAGATGTGGACTATTAGCTGGATGGATAAGAACGTACCGTCACTATCGATGTGTTTGGTCTAGCGTTGTCCTGATAAAACACATTTCTCCTTCTGTCGGTCAAATTAGGGCGTTTCTGTGTCACTGCACTTCGACTATGACCATAAGTCATCCAAATTTCATCAACACTAACAATCGGCTTCAGTAATGATTCTGAACGAATCGTTATTAACTAAGGTGGCATCTTTGTATGTGTGTATACAACCTAATCAAGCTGTTCCTAATCGCATTTTTGCTGCAATTTTTATCTCATGAGCAATCGAAATAGTACTCGTGTGATGTTCTGACTCGACAATTGCCATTATTTGTCGATAACTTCGCCTACTGGCCTTCCAATTTTGAAAATTATTTGAGTTATACTGCGAGTCGGTTTCAGGAAAACGTATTTCGAAAAGATCTGTGAGATATAAACAAAATATTGTGTTTAAAAAAAAAACATTTTTTTAATTTTAATCTACTATTAAAGCATCACAAAAATCCGCTTCTGTATTTATATAGTCTTCTTCATGGAATATTCCATTCCCCAAACCGCTATAAGCCTTAAAATATAATATTTTTGAATCCATCATTGAAGTAGCAGAAAGCGAAATCCGTGGCAATATTTAATACATTTTTGCCACCAGCATAAGATTTTGGAGCCAAAGTCTGATTACTCAAAACGCTTCTAACAGTATCACGGCGTATTGAATGTGCCATTTTAGAGGCCTTTGAAATTGATGGGTATGAAAATACGCAGCTTCCGCTCGGCGGCTAGTCGATGTAGAGCGGAATGGCGCGCTTGTTAACCGGTCACGAAATTTCAATGTATTCGTTTTCTAATAAAACGTACTAAAAAAACCTTTTTTCTTTTATTCTGCAAGGTTCAGAGAATTGTTGAAACTAATAAAATAAATTGATTTTTTCGAAATATACACAATGGTTTCACCTGTTAGCAATCCATGAGTAGAGATCACTGAAATATCTTTAATTTAAAAAAGTAATTATTAAAGCCCCTGGCCAAATATGAACTGACTATCCAGCACAATTGACTTGTCTTACTTTGAATCCTTGTCTGACCAAATGAGCGCTGTGGAGGCAGTCGAAATTTCGATCGAAGCAGTAACCGTGGTTGCACAATCTGCTGTCTGAAGCACAGGCAAATAGAATCCATGTACTTATGACTACAAATATTAGAAATTTCTCAGCGCTTCAAGTGCTTAAAGCAAAGCTACATTTGGTCTCTTTTCGTATTTTCCAGTACAGTAATATTCTATTTGGAAAGGCTTGACATTTCCAGGCGAATATATTGATCTCTGCGATGCCGAATCAAAATTATTAACGTATACTTAACTTAGTTTAAGGGGCTACATAGGTCTAAAAATTTAAAAAATTTATTTTTTTTTTCATAACTTTTTGTATAAAAGTACAAAGTGTGAGGAATATTTTCCTCAAGTTTCAAGTCGATCGAGACAAAACTGTAGAATTTAGAGAGTTTTATAACCCGCCGTCTTTGTCATGGCTTGACCGATGACTTGACCAATTTTAAAATTGATTTTCATCAAATGTTGTCCACATATTGTACTTTTATATTAAGTGTAGTAAAAAGTTCGTTCGGTTTTATCGTTATCGTTTAGCTTATGGGCTCGATACTGTAAACGACCGTGTAGCTAGGTTCCGTTCCGGTAATTTCGAGGTCAAAGACGCACCACGCGTCGAGAGGCCTGTCGTCGAAAATTACGATAAAATCATGGAAATAGTGGAAGCAGACCGTCACGTGAGAACTTATTCAATTGCTGAGAACTAAAGTTAAGCCAGAAAACCATTTGGAATATTTTGCATAACCTTGCATTCAAAAAGAAGCTCGATGTTTGGATGCCACACGAACTAACGCAAAAAAACATGATGAACCGAATTTTCTTCTGCGAATCGCTGCTGAATCGCAACAAAATCGACCCGTTTCTGAAGCGGATTGTGACTGGCGATGAAAAGTGGGCCACTTACGATAACATCAAGCGCAAACTCTAGTGATCAAAACTCGGGGAAGCGGCCCAGGCGGTGGCCAAGATCGGATTGACGGCCAGGTTTTGCTGTGTGTTTGGTGAGATCTGCAACGAATCATCTACTACGAGCTGCTTGCCTATGGCCATACGCTCAATTCGGCCCTCTACTGCCCACAAATGGACCGCTTGAAGGCAGCACTCATCCAGAAGAGGCCATCTTTGATCAACAGAGGCCGAATTGTGTTCGATCAGGACAACGACGAGCCACACACATCTTTGGTGACGCGCCAGAAGCTCCAGTCGCTGGGATGGGAGGTCCTAATGCATCCACCTTATAGTCGAGACCTAGCACCAAGTGACTACTATCTTTTCCTTTCCATGGTGAATTATAGAAAATAAGCTTTTTTTTGCCTTAAGAAATTATTTATCAAGTCTATTTTACAAACTTACAATTTTCGCTCTTAAGCTTTTGAAAAAGATATTTTAAGGTTAGACTCCTAATTTTATTGTTAGACCTAATGAAAATGATATGAAATGAAAAAAATTATTTTGTCTCGACTGAATTGAATATACCGGATTTACGTTTACTTGCTGGATTATTGATTTGTTTGGAAAAAAATTATTTTATTGCTGAGTGTGTTAATTATTTTTATTAAATTATTAAATGCATATTGTTTTATTCATATTTAAAAAATTTTTTTCTTACAGATCAACGTTTATATTTTACCAATAAATTGAGCAGTCCTGACAAATTAAGGTTAGTCATTAAATCATAACGAAAAGTTTTTAACTAAACATACTGAAACGACAAAAAATTATTTTTCTTTTATATATATGAATATCTGGTTGTCGTTTTTAATTATTTTTTTTTTGTTGAAACATCGTGCAAAATTTGTGTAAAATCATAATCAAGCATTATATTTTAATTTTATAAATGTACAGAGGTACGTTGGATAACAGTTATTAAGTAAAAATTATTCAGAAGGAAAATTCCTTGTAGTCACCAATTTTTATCTCGGAACTGGAATCCTCAGTTTCCCTGTCCTGTTGTTTTACCATATCATCATGTCATATTCTATACTCAAATACGCTGTGGCCAATATTTGGATTGCTTCTGTTAAATATGAGAATTCAGCAGTCATAAATGAACTAGTATTTTACTAGTATAATGCTGATGTATGAGCGAAAAATTGTTATTTCATGGAATATCACCGCATTAAAAATATCTGTCACCAAGAAAACTTTTGTTACACTTCAATGCATTTCCAAACACCTCTCGACTCACAAAAATCTTATTTTTGAAAGCAACCTATGGCAAAATGCAGTCGCATAGAATAGTCACAACTCAGCTTCATGCTTCAATTTAGCCCACAAAAGCGAAATAAACATATATTTGTTAGTACGAGGGTAGTTTGAGAAGTCAGCGGCTCTTTGAATACTGGGTTTTTTTCTTTCAAATAAAAAGTTTTCTTTCTTCATTTGATTAGCTCCTTATTTGATTACTCTGTCTATTTTCATAATAGAACATTACCGAATTAGGAAAATTTCGCATAAGCAGACAAAAAGGAACTAGGCTCTTGATGGGCGACTGAAGTAATGCTGAAAATTCTATGAGAGCATGAAGGACTCATAGAAGGGTTCAAGACCGGAACAAACTCTTGTAGTACCAAGAGTAGGGATCTTGCGCCTTATGCCTAGAGTATACTGAAATTGTAGATGCAACACTTCTCCAGCCTCTTGAAGTAATTTCTTATCTCTCGAAGAGATGGTGAGCCCGATTCCCCATCAATTGAAAATGGGTAATTAGTCGACATGTGGAATATACCACCAGATACAAGTTTTGCGAGCAGGAGAAGAGGAAGACCTCCACTGCATTGGAAAGATCACATTGAGACGGACCTGGCTGCACTGGGTATTTCTTAGAAGACAATTAACATAGATTTGTCAAACTGCCTGGTTTAGGTGTAGTAAAAGGAAATCAATTATTTTTTTAGCACAAAATTGAATGCTTTAATTTTTCCTTTTCGCATCCAACCATATTCGAATTGTTACAAACGGTCTTTTGTGCAATCTTTAACTTTTGGACAATCGAAACAGTGCTTACATGGCCGTCAGACTCGACAAGGACCATGATTTTAACGACATTGGCCACAATTGGCCTTTCACTCCGTGAAGCATCTTTCACATTAAAATTATCGGAATCGAACCGAAATTGTGATGATTGACTGTTACAGTATCAAGACCCTGAACGCTATTCAAATTCTTAGCCGCCTGGCTTGCCCTTTCGCCCTCATCGAAGAAAAACTATAAAATTTAACGTATTTTCTCTTTGCTAGTGTCCATCACAAAAGTGTGAAAGGAGCTTTTTTAGAGCAAAATATCATCTCTCCAACGCCATCTAACGGAAGCCGATCGGTTTGATACAACGCGAGATACAGATAAATAACGCCTTCTATTGGCAAAATAATGGATTTCTTTTTACTACACCTAATAGTTATACACAACTTCCCTATTCATGTGAGTTTTTAAGCTTTTTGCATTACGTTTTCTACTAAGTATCATACATATTATGTGTCAATCATATTATATATATTGACTATTTCGAACAAACTGCCATTCCACTTTTGGTTAGCTTTTCATTGCAATCAGCGTTTAGTTCCTATTTTTTTTTTGTATTTAATCATCTTGTCACATTTGTAAATATATGCCTGCTAAGCAGACCGCAAGCACCAAACACCAATAAATAGAACAACAAAAAGCAATAACAAAAAACAGCAAGAAAAAACAATAACAAAAATTGAAAGCGCGCACGTGTTGCACTCAAAAATTCACAACGCGATCGTTGCATTTAATTCATACATCCACATCATGTATATATAGCGATATAACAACATATAAATACATACATACATATGTATGAGCTTGCATTGAATGCAATCACATGCATTAAAGAACGCAAACTTGTTGTAAATGCATAGAGTGGGCAGCACTTGAGTCCGCACGTACATACATATGATATGTATGTATATATGTCGACGGAAAAATTGTATTGGATGCCATGCATGTAGCATACTAGTAGGCGCTTTGCAAATTTACATACTTACAGTGTACGTGTGCATTTGTGCCGCTCGTTAATATGTTCTCCACATGTAACTTTCCTCTTCTTTCGCAATTCAGCCTTACTTCGAGTGTTTTACACTCACCAAATTGCAGCTTCATCTCATGCAAGTGTTTATTATATTTATGTGATTGGTGTGTGTGTGTGTGTGTTGCGAGTTTACCCTGCAGCGTAATTTAATGTTGAAGTGTAGAGACTCTAGATTCAATTTTTCGATGCCGAGTTTGAAATCAACATAGTGCATACATACATACATATGTGCATATTTGCATTTATACATATATACATATCTGTGACCCACAAATCGTATAAAAATTCGCAATTAACTTTTTCCATAAATGGGGATTGAAATAAATTTGGTTATAGATAATTATTGAAGCGAAAAATAAAAATAAATTTCTGTTTGTAAACAAATAGACAAATTTTTGAATAATTCACACACTGTCAAGTGTTGAGCAACATTTATATTTTGAGCTACATTTTTGGTTCGAAAATATTTTTGGCTGAGAAAAAATTTAATGTTTATTAGCATTTCGTGATCAGAAATATGTTTGCTTCAGCAGTATTTTTTAGACGTTTAACGTATAATTATTGAGGATTAGCTACATTTTTATTTGCTTTGAAATATTTCTTTATTACTTATGATAATCATTTTTTTTTTTATAAGCAACTTTATCTGATTAGCAACATTATTTGATAAGCATTTGTTTTGATAAGCAACATTATTTTATAAGCGACTTTTCTGAACATTATTTGATTAGCAACATTTAATAATTAACAACATTTTTTGATTAGCAACATTTTATGCCAAGAAACATTATTTGATTCGCAACTTTTTATAATTAGCAACATTTTATGCCTTGAAACATTATTTGATTAGCAACATTTTATTATTAGCAACATTTTATGCCTAGAAACATTATTTGATTAGCAACATTTTTTGATTAGCAACATTTTTTGATTAGCAACATTATTTGATTAGCAACATTTTATGATTAGCAACATTTTATGATTAGCAACATTTTATGATTAGCAACATTTTATGATTAGCAACATTTTTTGATTAGCAACATTATTTGATTAGCAACATTTTATGATTGGAAAGATTTAACCTAAAGACAGTATATTCGCCATGAAATTCGGAAAAAACATTTTTAATAGTTCCTATGTACACAGATATAAATGTTTATAAATAAAAAAAAATTACAAAACGTATTTGCACAACCAGAATATTATCGTTTCAGCATCATTTGATGCAGACTAATTAGTATGAATTAAAATAAGCAACCCAACGGCACAGCGATTCACCCCACAGATCGGATAATATACATAATATAACGTATAACAAATTTATTTTGAAATAAAGTTCGCCCGGAGCGAAAAGTAAAGCGTTAAAATGGTCGAGCCGATATATTGAAAATAAATTATAAACACTTTCAATGCCTAATTATTCAGTGCCAAAACCAGTATCTTCAAATTTTTTGTTTAATCAGTGTAAAAGTTTAAGCGAAATCGTCAAATTTCACACAATCGTACCTCAGTATAAGCAATGAATAACATCAATGCAATGGAAATAGTCGTACGTGGCGTATACGTAATATTAATAAATTTGGTTTGCATTGAAAGATAAGATAAATGCAATGCTATAACGAATGTAAATTCATTAATACATATGAGAAGGAGACAACTTTAATTATGCTTACATTTTCTAGTTCTTCCATCGTCAAATGTTATGGTCTCGAGTAGATAGAGAGGTGCTAATAAAGACATTTATTGCAAAAAGAATTTAATTAATTGAAAATAATTTTTTATTAGTCGAAATCAATCTATATTGAATTCAATTTAATTTGGTTTACATAATTTCTTTTAGTTTATATTTTCATTTATTTTCTCTTAAACCAGTCCAAAAAAGTTTTTCCAATTAATCCAATATAATTTATAGTGAAACTAAAAAATGTTTAATAATAATTTCTCGTGTCACAGTGTTTGTAATCAGACTCCTCCGAAACCTTTAGACGAATTTCTATTAAATTTTATATGAATATTTTATATAAGAATTTATCATTTTAATCCGGAAATAGCCAGATTTACCATAATCCTTTAGATGGCCTCATCTCACAACGAAACGTGTGGCTAATTTTTAATTCATAGCCGATCTCGCTCAATAGAAAACCTATTATAGTTAAGTACCTATATATGTGCAAGTAATATATTAAAATTGTTGAAAAAAAGGTTTTAGTTTTCCGTGAAGTGGAAACGGTAAAATTTTTCTCAATTATTCGTATTATGCGCTGGGCATATTAAATTTATGGAGGTAAAAATTCTGCAGCCTGCTGAACGGCAGTGAAAATGAAACACCCGGAGATGGTGAGCCCGAAACCGCAATCGATGACGTTGAAAAAAACGTTCCATAAACTGAACAGGAAGAAGTTCGAATAGCAATCGCCCGCTTGAAAAAGAACAAAGCGGCGAGAGCTGACAGCCTACCGGAGAACTATTCAAACTTGGCGGTGAAAAGCTGGCAAGGTGCATGCATCAGCTACTGTCTTTGGCCGGATAAAACTTCGGATCGTACCGGTATAAAGACCCTACTGTAGCGGGAACTATTGGATTTTAGTCGCCCGTTCCGACAGGCATGC